AATAAGCAAGCAGACTACTTAGCTAAAGAGGGTATCAAGAGAACTAATATACTCAGAGTACTTGAGACAATACTAGGCAATATCCTAGCTATACTGAAATAGAAAGACCAAATAATAGACTACTTACTCAGATTATTTATAAATATAACAACTATAATAATATATGAAATAGAACAGACTGATCTAAGTAAAGTAGCAGATATTATAGCTTTGAACCAAAAAAATAACTTTAACAAAGAGCCAATTTAGAAAAATACTTAGGAAGTACTTAAAAAACAATAAAGAAAAAAATGTATTAGTCTAAAAAAAAGCAGAGACCTTATATTTCATATAAAATATATTAATGATATCCTACTAATAAAAGATATCTGTTATTTGAGAAACTTTAAACTATACAAGAGTTAAAGGTGTATAGTTTATTTTAGAAAGAACAAAACTTGTTTTTTTTTTTATTATTAAAGTGGCTTATATTGCTAAAAGAATTTTATTAGAATTGCATATAGGATATCTATTAATAGTCACTACTATTTGTAATTATATAAAGAGTGTACAACAAGCTATATGTACAACTTTAGTTATTATTTATTTTAAGTAGTTCACTACATAGGCGATTAGACTACTCGATTAGTTTTACACTATACTGCTATACCTGTAACCCATCTATGAGTTATCTATTTAAACATTCTGTTCATTAACCTATACAAATTCAACCTAATATTACTACAACATCTAACTACTTAAGCTAGCTAGCTCATTATAGATCTATTTATCTAGAATGGCTTAGATCTTCTTAGAATATATTGTATCTAATATATTATAGATATTGCAAAGCTAGTTAATCTTGAAGTATACCTACTAGAGTAGTCTGTACCTATTTTATGAATTCATCTAGCTTAGACCCTAGTAGATATTTGTACAACCTCAGTTTCTACTGTAGCTCTTTACTAGTTTTCTGTATTCTATTTTTTTGGATGTTTTACAAAGCAGATTCTCTTAATCTAATTAGCCACCAAGTTAGATTAGTATTACTGATCCTCCCTATAGAACAGATTTATATGTATCTAACTCGATCTGTATCTTTTGATAATAGTTTTTTTTCTGAATTAAGTGTTAGCTAATATGACTATTGAAAGCTATACTACTTTACCAATTTGAGATTTCTACTATGCAGGTTCTCTGCTCGTAGATCCTATCAAGATTTATTTGTGTAATGTTATATCTTACTGAATATCTTATTATACTTCCTATATCTAGATAATATTATTGCAATATGATTTACAGAATTACAACTCTAGAAACAGACAGAGTTTATTGTAAGTTTAGTACAAAGATCTAGGTAATTATTCAAATTCATTGACAATAAGATTTAAACTCTAGACCTTTTGCATAGTGGTCTAGTAATCTAACTACTATACTAAGATCATCAGATCTTTAAGGATAAAACTTTGTATTACCTAGTAGAATGCAAATCTACTAAAAAATATAAAAGAACTTAGAAGAGAAAATACTATATCTAACAATCCTTAAAGCATTAACAAAATTAGATCTATTACTTGAGGAAAACATATTAAGAAAAGTACTCTATAATAAAGATCTAAAAGAGAAGATGTATATCAGAAAGATGTATCTTAGAAGTTTTATAAATAAGAAATAACAAGTAAATATATACAAGATAGCTTGATCAAAAAGCAAAGCAAACAGAGTATTGATAAGTTTTATTAAACATTTCTAGTCTTGCTTTTATGAACATCTATAGAAATTCAAGTATGAAGTAATAGTTGAATAAAAAAAAAAAAACAATATCATAACTAAAGAGAAAAAAAGAAAAAAGACAAGAAAAAAAAGGAAAAGAAAATAAAGAAAATATAACTTCTTCAAACAAAACAAAGAAATCAAAAAAGAAAAAAAAAATATAAATACAAAAAAAAGCTTTTGACAAAGTTTATAAATAGATAAGATCTAATAGTAAAGAAAAATAATTAAGGTTTAAAATAAATTAGATGATTTTGATATAGACTAGTTATTAACTAAGAGTTAGAAATTTGTAAATACAAATTTAAACTCTTATAAGAAAAATAGTTGCTATGGCAGATTGTACTTAGATACTGAAAAGTAACTGAATATGTTTTGAATAATTATAGAAAAGTAGTTTGCTATAAATAGTATAGCATTTTACTTATAGCTTTTTTTTTTTTTTTTTTTTTTTTTTTTTTATATTTACAACAAGGCCTTGATGCCAGTTAATTTTTATTAAGTTGTTTGTAGATTTACATTAGTTAGTGAGAGTACAATTAGTCATATGTACAACTTTAATCATTGTTTATTTAAAGGTTTTGCCTGGAGGTTACTTACCAATTGCTATATCTAGTATCCCTTTGTGAATACTATTTTAAACTCTCTGGTGTCTTCATCATCCCTAAGCTATTAATCTAATTTTATTCTTAAACCTGCACAATCTTGTGCTACTTTAATGAGGACTATTCAGACTGACTTTGTGCTTCAGATTCCCTTATTAGGAGAGCTCTATCTTAAAGTACCCTTTTGTCTTTGTCAGAAGGAACTTGCGGAATACTCCAACTATACTGTGCTATATCCCAATTAAGCTAGCATATACCCTTATAGATGTTTATACAAACCCAGTTAGCTAGTATGATCATCAAAAGCTATATTATTTCACCAACTCAAGATTTTTACTATACAGGTCTTCTGATTATAGATCCTATCAAAATTTATTTATATAACATTACATCTCATCAAACGTCTTGTCACACTTCTAATATCCAAATAATATTAATGCAATATGATTTACAGGATTACAACTCTAAAAACAAACAAGGTTTACCATAAGTTGGATACAAAGGTCTGGATAATTATTCAAATTCATCAATAGTAAGATTTGAACCCCAAACCTCTTACATAGCAATTTGACAACCTAACCATTACACTAAAATTATCAGACCTTGAAAAATTAATTTTTATGTTATAAATTTTATAATAAATCATAAGAAAATGCAAACTTTAAAGAGCTATATTGCAAAATTTTATTAATACAACTACTTTTGAGTCTTAAGTAAAAAATGATCCTAATCTTATTTTAAATTGATTTATATAAAAAAATAGCTTTTGAAAAAATTGTCAATTTTGTCTCTTTTCTTAGCACCTAGCCCATATATATGGCTATGGTTAACAACTTAATAAAGTTTATAACGTAGCTGTCAAAGAAAAAAAAAAGATACTAAAATACTATGTAATAAATATAACTAATAAAAATATAATATAAATTATGCTAAAATCCATTCTATAACAGTATTTTAAAAAATAATCTTCACAACATTTAGTTAACTAGTCAATAGATTTTTATCTATACTAGCGAATTCATACAACTCTTTTTGTGTAACGTTTATGCATAAATTATATCGTTGTTTACTTTTTACTATATATATAAGCATCAAATCAAGTAAAAATACACGGCCGATCTGCTTCCTCAAAAAATTTCCATAAAAACAACTCCTATGGATAATGAAAAAAAAAACTCGACTCAGAGTAGTCGCTCCTTCGAACCTCCTCTTGTAATCAAGCCTCCAAAAAAACCAAACCAAGAATTCCGGCGACGCAGGCTACTCGGCGAGGTTTGTGAAATTCTTAAAAGTTTGTAACCCAAATTTCATGAAATCACTGTGTTTAAACAATGACATTTAGGGTGGGTTTGGAAAATGTTATGAAGTAGAGGACAAAGAAGGAAGGATACTCGCCGTAAAAGTTGTTTCCAAATCAACGTTACGTAGTTCCAAGAATAGAGATAAGGTTGAACAAAATACATTATTTTACAATTATAAATTTAATTTGAATCTGAACTCTATGTTACATATAAGCTTCTTAGTGAGATTCGAATTCACAAAATCATGGATCATCCACATATAGTCAAATTTTATGAATGCTTTGAAGATTTATCATTTGTGTACATGATAATGGAGCTTTGTGAAAATAAAGTACGAGAAATAGTGCAATTTGCGTAATTGAGTACTTTAAATTATAGGATGAAAATTTAATCATAATTAACAGACTTTAGCATATATGAACAAAAGAAGACAACGGTTAACTGAAGCGGAAGTTCGTTATTTCATGCGTCAACTACTTGATGCGTGCGAATATATGCATCGGCATTTTGTCATTCATCGTGATCTCAAATTAGCGAATCTCTTCTTATCCAAGGATATGAAAATTAAAATCGGTGATTTTGGACTAGCGGCACAATTGGAACGCGAAGGTGACAGAAAAAAGTAAGTCAATTTATATTCATCTTGATCTAAATTTTGTTTTTAATAATTCAAGCTCGTGTTCTGTTTATATAGAACGATATGCGGTACACCGAATTATATCGCACCCGAAGTGTTATTTGACCAAGTAAAAGGTCATAGTTTTGAAGCTGATGTGTGGTCTTTGGGCGTTATAATGTAAAAATAGTTTCTAGGTTTATCCTATAACATTACATGTAAATTTTACAAGTTTTTACCATTTTCCGCACACAGGTATACATTATTGTTTGGCAGGCCACCTTTTCAGACGGAGGGAAAAGTTGATCAAATATATAAGTTGGTTTCAATCATATGTATGTTGTTAATATAATTATTTTTACAATTCGGATTTAAACTGACTTTATTATAATAGGAAAATCAGAGAATTAAAATATGACTTTCCAGGAAATATTAATGACGTTTCCAAAGAAGCAAAAGCATTAATTAATTTAATGTTAACGTTGGAACCTGGTAGCTTTAGTAAAGTTTTTCGTTTATATGTTAAATGTTTGTACTTAGTAATATATATATTTTACTTATCTTAAGAAAAGCGACCAACGATTCAACAAATTCGAGATAATGACTTTTTTCGGTTAAGAGTTACTCCAACAGAGATACCTGTATCAGCATTGACTATCGCTCCAAGTTTCGAGCTTCCACCACTTACAAAGCCGCGCATTAACTTGTCGCTCGCTAACAGACGGCCACTGAGAGTTATCCAAGTCGGTGCAAATCTAAATCCTGCTACATCAACTAAAAAAAAGTTCATCTGTCCAGTTGAAGTAAAGCCTTCGGCGTCATCTGAGAGCAAGTTGATTAACCCTGTGACTTCAAAAACTGAAACTGGTTCCATGCAAGCACCTCCTATTTCAATATCCACGATAAATTCAGCGCGTGTACAAAATATTGTAAATTTGGCTGTACGTGCTGCCCCTAATTGTAATAATGCGGGCTCTACTAGTTCATGCCTCACCAGAAAAGATTCATCACGTAAGATTATAATTTCATCAAGTAATCTATCATTATGTATGCACTAATTTGATATTTGTTGTTTATAATAGGTAAAACAAGGACTGGTGTCCTTGAATCAGTGTATAATACCTTATCTACTGCGTTTGATCAAATGTTGGAGGGAAAGGAAGTGTTACCACGCGCTCTCGATGATAGTTAGTAGTCTTTATTTATTTGTATTTCTAATAACCTTTAATTCTAATATAAACACTCATTTTTAGAACCGCCTACTACACCACTTGTGTTTATTAGTAATTGGATGGATTATACTAATAAATATGGATTTGGATACCAGTTAACGGACGGGTCTGTTGGCGTAAATTTTAATGACAAAACCACATTAATAATGTCTCCCAACGGGTGGTATGTTATCTTTATTGGTTATATTGTAGTATTTTTTGTAATTACTAATTGAAATATATTAATCTTATTAGCAATTGCGAGTACATTTATAACAATAGTACATCAGCCAATTGTACAATGCCAACACGTAAATCTTTCACAGTAAACGATTACCCGGAAGATTTAAATAAAAAGTTTTATCTGCTACAGAATTTTTGCAATTATATGAGCGAAGTTCTTCCAAAAATAAGTACTTCTTATACGTTTGTCGACAAAAATAGAACTCACAACATGGAAGTCTTGATAAAACATAGACGGACTCCTCATGCAGTTCTATTTAGGTTAAGCAACAGTTTAGTGCAGGTTTGTAATATTTATTACTTCACAAGTAATATTAATTTACACTAATAAAATTATATATATCATGCGATGGTGATTCAAGGTAAATTTCTTTGATCATGATAAGATCATACTTTCAGAAGAAGGCAGGGTGATAACATATATTGACGATTCACGTGGAATTAATACACATACAATTTCTGAGATATTGAGAGGTGATCATCCAACTGAAAAGAATCGGCTGAAGTACGTGAAAGATGTTTTAAAAAAACTGGTAGAAACAGCTCATAAAACCAGTAAACCTGAAAGTAATAAAATTTAATTCGTGATTCGTTGATCAATAATTGTTCCGAGTGTAATGCGTAATATAGCAACCTTGTGACCTTATTTTTTTTTGCGGCAAAAAAGGGTCGCAACTGATGCAAAGCTGTGACTTTGCAGCAATCAACACATCTAAGGCATTAACATCGTCAAAATCATATATTTAAAATTTCAAGTCATCTAAAACATTATTGTTGTCAAAATCATTAGAACAATTAAAGTAGTACGTATAGTGCAGTGAAGAGATTAATGTTAGTACTAAAAAAGTAAAATCAAATACTTTCCTTAATGTTAAAGGGGTCAAATATCCAGAACTAGTATATTTTTCTGTATTTTTATTTTTAGGGATGTTAATCAGTCCTTTGGGACCGAATCCTGACCGATCCTAACCAATTCTTTCAAGGATTTGTAAGGATAATCACATGAAGTTATATGGGACCTAAACCCGAGCAGGGATAGCGATTTTATATAGTGCTAAAAATTAAATTATGTTATGATGTGAACGATTTTTTGAGAATTATTCGCAATTATGTGATACTAGATAAGTGATAATAACATGTAACTAAATTCATAATAAGAATTTTAATAAAAAAGATTTTAAATTCTATTAAAATATAACATTAATAAATTTTTTACCGATTCTTTAGACAAGTTTTGTCTATTTTCATCTAAAAGTGAATTATATAATTAAGTGTAATATTTGATAAAAACAAAAGTTGTAAATATAAACTTGACCAAAACATATCTAATTCTGTTTTCTGATATTGTAATATACTATTTATAGATTAAAGTATTTGACAATTTATCAAACTCTTTAATAGTACTATAATGATGAATATCTTTTTTTTAAAATATTATCGGTAATAAGATAAACAAGATTAAATACATAATATACTTAAAATAATTTGTAAACTAGATACTATAAAATAGTATTTATTTAAAATCTTAATAAGCAAAATATTAAAAGATTAAAATCCTAACAAATTAGCTTATATTAAAGTTAGAGTTAGTATAATTTTTGTACTAAAACCTTGTAAAATATATATTAGAAATTTTTTTATATACTAGAAATATATTACAAAAGATTAATAGATTAAATTGAAAATTAGTAATAAAATTTTCTAATTTTTGATTAAAATATTGGATTCTATAGAATAGATGAGCAATATAAGAAATAAGCTTTGCTAATGATTAGTAAAGGAGCTGTCAAAAATCAGATGATTTTCTAGAGAAAGGAGGAGGTTAAAGAAATTGAATTTATATATAGAGAATCTGATTAGTCATATATTAAATCTGAGGAAGGAGAGTAAAGTTCTAATAAAAAAAAAATAAAAAGATTAATGATACAACTCTAATCATTAATTTTTAATATATTCAGCGAAGTTTAGCAGAGTTTGCTTACCTATTCTATAGAACATCCAAAATATTATATATGTTAATTTGTTTTAAGAAATATAATAAGTTGTTTTAACTCAGTACGAAGTACAATTTACTCTCTCTGTTAATCATTTTGACCATTTCTGGAGCAGAAAAAAAAACTAAGAAAACTCAAGATACTTATTAGAAAACTTTATTCAAGCTACTAAGAAAAAGAAAGGAGAACAAAGAAATATATATAATAAGACAGAAAAATAGAAAAATTTCAGTTGAAAAGAAGTAACAGAAGAACTTTTAAAATAAAAATCCCAAATCTGTCTCTTTTTTTTGGAAAACTGGGGGATTTGAAAATACTCTGTATTGCAGATCAGTTCATATTACACAATCACAGAAAAATAAAGTAAACAAACAAATGCGTCTTTAGAAATTACAGTCATGTACTAAACCCTAAAAAAGAAATACACTCAACTAAAACCAGAAGAATCACTGACAATTAGAATAAATTCTTAGGAAATTTGCAAAAAAGTAAAAGTCATTTCAAGATTATTATAAATAAAATCAAGAGAAGAATAGACATACAAAAACAAAAGAAGTTTAAGTTAACTAAAGAGAAAATGGAAGAGAACCAGCTAGTAAAAGCCAAAAAAGTAGTCAGCCTTAAATCAATACTTAAAGAAGAAGATCCAGAAAAATTAACAAAGATCATAGAAGGAATAGAAGGAAACCAAGAGAAAATTGATGATTATGTAGCAAGGATTACAGGTATTAGCAAAAAAATTATTAAAACAACTAGAAGCTAGCACAAGATTTTGAAAAAAATAATCATCGAAGAAGGAAAAGAAATACTAGAAATAGTACTTAACGAGCTAGAACAAGAATTTCTGACAACAGAAGAGCAAAGAAGAAGAGAAGCTGAGCATAATAGCAGAGAAAAGAGGATAGTACTAGAAAAGAAATACAAAGAGGAAATGAAATTAAAAGAAAAATATAATTAAATAGAAAAGACTAGGCTAGATTACAAGCAAAAAGAGCTATTAATAGTTAAAGAAAAAGAGGAAGAGAAAGAGATGTTCTGCAATTATGAATTTCTCATCACTCAGGAAGTTAAAAGGATCAAGAAAAAGGAAGCTAACAAAGGAAAAACAGTAATAGAAATCCTGTTCTAAGATGATTAACCAATAGAGTTCTCAAAGATCACTATAGAAGAAACGGCTAGTAGTATTACAAATATAGTAATACAAACATACTAAGAAACAGAAGTAACACCTGAAGCAGAAATAGAAGTCTTTATTCCACAAGTAGAAGACAAAATCAGAGAAGACATAGTAGAACATGAAGTATTAGAATATAAAGAACTCTATAGGAATTCTCTTGAAGATAGTCTTTGGGCCCCTAATGAGAACACGTACGAAGGACCATGAGAGTATAAGGCAAAAATAGCATCAATTTCACTCATAGGCAAGTCTAAAGAAGAGAGAACCAAGTTCATAGAGGGAACTCTTTACAGAAGCAAACATATAAGCAAAATTGAAGAGTGCTTTATGAATAAGAACTCATAGGTCATCATCAGCTTTGACTGCTATAAAGGAGTTAAAATTTTAAAAGAAAGATTAAAGAAAAAAGCAAATAAGTGGTATAACATTTTGTTCGAAGATAACGAGCCAGTACAGAAGGTATTAGGAAGCAAAAGTGATAACAAAAACAGTGAAAAAGCTATCAAAGAGAAAACAAAAAAGGTACCAATCAAAGACAAAGCGAATGATGAAGAAAATGATAAAGCCAAAAGAGAGAAACAAGCTCAAAAAGAGTTAGAAGAAGTATACAACCTTAGAAGAGAGAGATTTGTACAAGTTAACAAAAGAAAAACACTCTCTGAAGAAAGAAAGATTTCAAACAGCAGCTAACAAACAGAAACAAAAGTAATGAATAATATCAGAAATATGATAATGGTTTAGGATCTTCCAAGTTATGCAAAAGGACCACAAATTTTTGAAAATATACGATATTTTGGAAGAGTTGATCATATTGAAATAATTAAAGAAACATATAGAAAAACAAGAGCAGTAATCGATTTCATACCAGGTACTACAGCTACAGAAGAGCTAGAAAACTTATGGTATATACCATTCAGAGAGAACTGCTTACTAAGAGTTTCTACAGGAACAAGCAATAGTAATAAACTCAAAGAACGTAACAAGTATACCAGAAGATTACTTGACCTACCAGAAGATACAAACGAAATACTCTTAATGAGACAAGTCAAACGAACTGGTGCTAAAGCTTTGAATATATTTAAAAATATTAATGACAACAATAGAAGAAGCACAACTGTATACTTTGAAAACAAAAAAGATATGATAAACTGTTCAAGATTTGTAGTTTATTATTATAATAACAGACTTACATGGGCAGCAAGCAGAAATGACTCCTACGAAGACAAAAATTATCAAGAAGATCAAATATCTCTTGCAAATAACAGTGAAACAAGAAGCATAAAGAGCCTGAGAAAGAGAAAGGAAATAGAACAAGATCAGAAAGGAGAATGCTCTAAATACATTCAAAAAAGATACTAAAATAGCAAGAATGAGTACGTAATATATGATAATAATAAAATAGATGAAGAAAGTAAGTAGGATACAACAATGAATCATAAGGAAAAAAGAAGACTATACTCAAAAAATGAAGAGGTTCATTCATACAAAAGAAAAAAAAGAGTAAGTATGAGAGAAATACTTGAAAATCTAATTGCAATTGCAGAAAAAGAAGACTATAAATACAAAGAAGAGGAGAGCATTTGGGAGCACAAGACTCTAAATCGCTTCTAAATTAGTGTACTAGTTAAACTACAAAGAGCTCAGACTTTGCAAAAAGGAAAATTTGGAAAGCAAAAAAGAGCAAAAGAAAACCTAAATTACAAGAGAACCAGAATCGTAGAGCAAGAGAAGGAATGAAGAGAGAAGTACAAAAAATCAAGCAGAAACTCAAACTTTCAAACTTTGAATATAGCAACATACAATATTAACAGAATAAAAGAAAATCCAACAAAACTCGACCTCCTAACAGAATAGGCAAAGCAGAAAAAATTAATATTTTAGGTATTAACGAATTAAATATTGATGAATGACAAGGAAAGTTTAGCTTAGCAAAAAGCTCAGATTACATTAGCTTCTGGATCTTAGCTAAAGAAAGCAAGTCAAAGGGTTTAGGAGTGGGACTAATAATTGACAAAAAATGGGAAAAACACATAGACAGAATAATAAGATATAGTAGCTATTACATAGATATTCTGTTGTCTTTAAAAAAGCAAAGATCTTAGTAAAAATAGTATATATTCTGCTAAATAACAAAGAAACAAAAAAAATGCTTCAACAACACATCATCAAAAAGATTAGAGAAAATGAAAGAAGAGATATTAAGATTATTATTATGGATGATTTTAATGACATCAGATCTAAAGATCTAGATCAAAGCAATGAAGATTCAAAAAGAGCTCGAAAGTTTCCACTTCTGGTATAGTTAGAGAACTCAAACTGTGAAAATATTTTTGAATTTATGCACCCCTATGAAAAAGAATACACATGATCAAATAGAAAGTCTAGTACAAGAATAGACTATATTTAGGTCGCAAAAGATCTAAGTTATAGTCTTATCAACTGCAGAATACTAGATGCAGAGTATATTACAAAGAGTGATCACATGATTGTTTCAGCATAGTTGGTGATAGGTTTTATATAAAAAAGTAGATCTAAAGTATGCACTAAAAAGATGAAAAGGAAAAAACATATTTTAA